GTTTGGGCTGCCATATCTTGGTGTTCTGCAAGCCCCATCATCATGTTGAAAGTTACAGTCACTGCCAGCGATCATGTACAGTTTTGGCGGACCATGTGCACCCCATGACATTTCCTGAAGACAGCGCCATTTACGAAGATGATGATGCTCCGAATTACACAGCTGGTGCTGTCAAATCATGGTTTGATGAGCATGCAGGTGAAGTCTTGCACAGTCCCTGGGTACAAACAGTCACTGCACCTCAATATGATAGAGCCAGTATGGTCAATTTTGCAGAACAAGGTTTGGGTTTCTTTTCTGCCTCCGGCATCTCTGCGAGAGCAGAAGTGGTTTTTCCATGAAGAGGTGTATCAGATTCTATTATCCACCATCTAAGACTTACATTTGTCAGTTCCCAGGAGAATTCAGGCCATCTTGGATGCCAAAGGCGGTCCAACATCTTATTAGGTAACGATTATGTGCTTTTACTTGGTGTTTACATAATTTTGCTCAACCCCTGTGTATGTATGTGTATATATACTGTATATGTGTGTTTATATATATAATGTTGGACAATAGATCCCTTAAAATTGAAGATAACAGACAAAACATTCCCAAAAAACTTTATAAAATAACCCCATAATCATATAAAATGTGGCAATCTAACAGGGAACACTAAAACCAAAGGGAATCTATGTATCAATGATAAAGCAAGTGATGACAAGTTCGATATTTAGTCCCCTGGGTTTAAGGGTATTCATATTGTAAATTCATTTGTTTGGTTTCTTTTTTTGTGAAATATTTCTTGCCCTAATAAAGTGGTAGTAAAAAGTCACTTCTTTGATTTTACCTATACTTAAGCCTATAATAAGGTTTACCTATAAGTACAGTAAATATCTCCTAAACATGTCTGAGTACAGTAAATATCTCCTCCTAAACATGCACTATTTAGGAGAGATATTTACTGTAGCAGCTGCCGGTGATGTCACCGGTGGATGCACACTGGGCTCTGAATGAACTGTGCCATCCATTCAGAACTGTGCCATGGCTGTGACTCCCGTGTGAATGCGTAGGAGTGATGCCATTGCAGCTCGGCCATTCATACAGCCGAACCCCACAAACCCAGAAGGAACACTGGGTGAAGGTGGAAGCACCTACAGGGGTGAAAGCATTTGCTGGAGGGCTTTGTTTTCAGGTAAGTCTGTTATAATGCGCTGGTATGCGATGAATACTAGCACATTATGACTTAAACTGTCTTGGGGCCCTTTTTTTAGAGATTTGCTACCACTTCAATTCCCCATTCAATGTGGTTGCACACATTCAATCTGAAATTTGCAAAGTGCTCACATCTGTATTATGTAAAATGCAAGGAAACACTATGATTTTTATTCCTTATTTCACTGTTATGAATTTGTTTAGAGATATGTTTCCTCAGGGGTTTTGTGGTGCAGCCTATATGCTGAAGTCCACAGGGACATTGCAAGGCATAGACTAAATGTGTGTAGTGTCGTATGAGATAAAGTCATGAATCTTGAATGTTCTTTAACCTTGAGGAAAAAACTTGCCTCTTTCTCATGTTACATTTAGTTGTTTTACACCAGTGTTAACCTTTTTTCAGTCAAGGCACTCTTTACAATTCTGCACAATCTTGAGGTACCCATTACAAAATGTAAAATACTAAACTAATAGTTTTACAGAATGCAGCAACATTTGCCCACATAGGACACCCAGCGTCAGAGGTAATTTATTCTTCCAAAAAGCAAATACTCCTTTGCACACTGGTACTGACTAGTATTCCATTGTTTCTCTTCTTCCTCACTTTTTCTCTCTCGCTCAGCTAATGTGACCGACAGACAGGGGCAGGGGAGAGTCAGGTGCAGGTGTACTTCTTATCAACTGATGACATCATTGTTTTTTATGTTTTTCGCAGCTAGAAAGTTGCAATGGTACACAATGAAAACCTGTGGCTTTATGTAACTTTAAGGCAGGCTTGATCCACTTTCTGGTTTGTATACAATGTTTGGGTAATTTTTTAGGCATTTTACCAAGGCAAACACGCCTGGACAAACCTGAAGGCACCCTGGTTGAAATAGGTTGTTCTACACTACTCTACTTTTACATCTCCCACAAGTAAAGAAATATTTTCTATCCAGGAAAGTATGAAATCTTTTAAGGGAGTCAAGCACGTTATAAATGATCTTGCTGCCAAAATTTGGAGCCTGCCTTTAGATAAATCCTACGGTAAGTGTTAGCCCAGTGTTTGATCATTTAGAAGTATCAGCCAGTATTTTTCTATATATTTCTTTTACACTTCCTTATACTGAGCGTTAAACCCTGTAATGAGGCTCAACTGGGATACATTTTCACTAGAACATTCCCTAGGTTTAGATTCTAATAAATCTTCCCTTGGTCTTTTTAAAACCTCCTCTAATTTCCAAATTGGGTAACACTTTTTATTAAATCTAACCTTTATAATATTTGCTTAAGCTAAATAATCTGACTCATTAGTACAGTTACATCCTTTTGGTATATTCTTCTTCCAGACTGGGTAGTGACCAGTATGAATAGACAAATAACTCTTCCGATGTCTTTTTGAAAAACACCTTTGTACTTAATAGTTCCCCTTCTCTATAGATCCTAAAGTGGTTCTAAATGCTTAAGGTTTTTTACCTTCATGCATTGTATGCATGAAGGTAAAAAACCTTTAGTGTGCAGCAGCCCCCCCAGGACCCCCTAATAATCACCTGAGCCCAATCTCAGTCTATCAATGTGCACAGGTGACTTGGCTTTCCTGGGTGTCTCCCTCCTCATTGGCTGAGACTCAGCAGTGGGAGCCATTGACTCCCGCTGCTGTCAATCAGAACCTGTGAGGAGGGAGTGGGGGTGGAGCAATGTCCCGCTCTGCTGTGTCTTATGGATGCAGAAAGTGGGGCTTGCAGATGAGCACATACCAGTACCCCCACAACAAGCAGCTTGCTATGGGGGCAGTGCTCAGGGGGGAGGAGTCAGAATTGCAGGCAGGGGACTCAAGAAGAGGAGGATTGGGGCTGCTCTGTGCAAAACCACTGCACAGAGCAGGTAAGTATGATATGTTTGTTATTAAAAAAATGAAATGAAATGAGGTTTTAGTATCACTTTAACATCTAAAAAAATAACAGACTTCAGCCTATAGGTATAAGATAACTGGATTTTTTTATCATTCTGGTTTGTTTGTACCTCTTTTGTGGTGATTCTACCATAAAGAATAAACTATTCTGCCTCAGGGAGCATAAGAAGACATGGGGCCACTCAATGAAATTGGAGAAGTGGTTTAGCCTCAAACTACGTAGGGGGTTTTTCACTGTCAGGCGGTAAGGATGTGGAACTCACTTCCACAATCGGTGGTGTCTGTGGGAAGTAGTGATAGTTGAAATAACTCTTAGATGGACATCCTAGTGAACACAATATACCGGGTTATAGGATATGTTTTTGACATGAACACACACACACCTACACAGGTTGAACTGGATGGATTGTTGTCTTTATTCAACCTTACCAACTATGTAACTATGTTCTAGCTGTCCATGATGAAATAGCAGGCATGGTAACGCACATGGTCAGAATAGCACCAATTGCACAGCTCCCGATGTACACAGGACCGGGGCGAACTGACCATTTGGAAACTCGGGCACTGCTCGAGGGCCCGGGGTCAGTAGGGGGCCCCATGAGATGCCCCTGGTACCTTTTTCATAGGCTTTTTTGAGTTTGGGCAAGGATACAGGAGCCCCATGATCCCCTGGGGCCAGTAGGGGGCCCCATGAGATGCCCCTGGTACCTTTTTCATAGGCTTTTTTGAGTTTGGGCAAGGACACAGTGGCCCCATGATCCCCTATTGAGCCCCATGAGTTGTCAGTCCGCCCCTGCACAGGACAATGTCTTTTGGTGCACCAACTTATGAAGCTTGGTGCTCCCTGTGACTATGCATGCAGCTTTGTGCTGCCATCTGTTGGTGTGTTACAAAACTAGTCTTGAAACCTTTTGATACCACCTCATACTTCTGGGAAAACATACAAATACTGTAATGTACAACATAATAAGCAAGTTTATTCACAACCTACTTTCAAATTTCCATAAGCAATATTTCAATGGTTGACTATAAAAGGAAAGACAATAAAGAGTTAATAAGCCTACAACAGCCTACACATCAATTCTGTTACAATTACTAAAGTAAGTTATATATAGGAAAAGGGAATTTGTGATTAAAATGAGCTTACTATCTCTGCAGAGACATTGGATGCCCTCAGGCAGCAATACAAATCATATAATACACACATGAAGTGGTTTTGGTCTACTCTTCTGAAGGTAAGAATAGAACAGAGCAGTATATGAAAACTACAGCACAGGCCTATTTTCTGACCAGAATGTAGAATGTAGTACACAACCCACAGAACCCACATCATCACACTATTAGCATGGAAACAAACAGAAGTGTCATTTCTGCAGTGAATATGCATCGTACAAAAGTTTTCATTTTAATTAATAATTTTCCCCATATCCCCAAAAGATAATTTAAAAGCTCAAACTGGACATCACAGAAAGGATTTTCTGCCATTTTAACCCTGGCAGTGTTTAGAGCAGCAATGGGCAAACTATGGCCCGCGGGCCGTATACGGCCCGGCGGACCTTTTAATCCGGCCCGCGGAGCTAGGCTCCCGCTAGGCTCCTCTCACAGTCCGCCCTGAAGACCGGTGTAGCATGAAAATCTGTCTCCTATGAGGATCTGTCCCCCTCGACGTATCTGCGCATGTGCCGGAAATCGCCGATCGGCTGCTAATGCCTGAAACTGGCACATGCGCAGATACGTCGAGGGGGACAGAGAGTTCTTTTGGTGGTATTTAATCACCTCTGGGTTTTTCATTTTTGCTAAACAAACCAAAAACCACTGAAAATTTTGAAACAAAAAAAGTTTTTCTTTTTGTTCTAAAATTTTGTAAATAAGTGATTTTTCTCCTTCAATGATGTGCGCTAATGAGGCTGCAGTGATGGGCACTGATGAACATTGATAGGTGGCACTGATGGCAATGATGAGGAGGCACTGGTAGATGGCACTGATGGGCACTGATGAGGAGGCACTGGTAGGTGGCACTGATGGGCATTGACAGGCATCACTGATGGGTACTGAAAGGCAGCACTCATATATGGCACTGATAGGTGGCATTGATAGGTGGCACTGATAGTCGGCACTGACTGGCACTGATAGGCAGCACTGACGGGCACTGATAGGCGGCTCTGACTGGCACTGATAGGTGCCACTGACCGGCACTGATGGGCAGTACTGATAGGTGGCACTGACTGGCACTGATAGGTGACACTGAAAGGCAGCTCAGATGGGCACTGATATGTGGCATTGATGTGCACTGGTAGGCACTGGGGGCCAGAGCTGAACCATGCTGTGTTTACCTATAAATGCACACAGCCCAGGACGTGTACCCCCATAGAAAGCATGTAGGGGCAGCAGGCGATTATGGAGCTTTTCTCCATGCTTCCCATTAACTCGTTGGGTTCCAAGTCTGGGTCACTTAAGAGAACTGCCCCCCCCCCCCCCCCCCCGTGGTGGGTGCTGTTTCCATCAATGCCCTGGGACAAGGCTGAGGCCACCATGGGGGAATACTTAACCTTAAGGTGGGCCTCTAATCTCAGAGATGAACATGGACTATGTACACTTGCACCTAAACTGACCTCTAGTTAATTTTCGGATCCCTGTTTCAATGTACACCTTTACTGTAGTTTACTGCAATTTTGAGGGACACGCTGAGCCTATGTCCACTTTCACCTTCCTAACGTTCTCCAGTACCTCTCTTCCAGTAGCCAAATGGAACCCCACCGTGCACCTAGCACAAGCGCCATACATGTATTTGACTTAACTCTTTACCTTCTGTACCTCTACACAGGATAGGGATCTCTGCTGTGCAAGTCTGCTCCTGTTGCTATGGGAGACAGACCGCTGATGGATGGAGTGCCAATAACATCTTCCTTGCTGCTAGAGGCTGCCCCACCTGCCATAGATACACTCCTAACAACAGGGCTGCATGACTGACTGTTGGCTTCCTTTACCCCTAGTAACCACTTGCTGTCTTCAAACCCTCATGTGCTATTGACCCAAGCAGGAGACTACTGTATATGAGGTGCTGGTTACTTGCATTACACTACTTTAGTAACTTCATACCAGACAACAGGCAAAGTTTCAACGTTACTTAGAAAAGTGCCAAAACATTACAGAGTCCAAACAAAAGTAACATTTCTTTCCCTATGTCTCTAATCCCTAACTCAAGCTTGTGTGCTGCCCTTGCAAAGATAGTGTCTATAGACATTGGCTAGGTCCATAGGTATCAGCATACTACAGCAGCTGGTGTCCACAGGTCCCAGGGGTCCCCCCTACATGATGGCAAGTTCCTTCAGCAGGCCTATGGGCCACTCACTCCCCCTCCGCGCATCTAAGAGCTAAGACCCCAGGTCTGCATCACTGTCCCTTTTTATAGGTACAGGTCCAGTGGGTTAGACCCAAAAAGCCCACCAAGCTAAAGACCCGGAAAATAGAGTTAACCCTTAACCTATCTGTCCATGGCAACACCTAACTAGGCTAAATTGCAACCCACTTACAAGCGCCTTCCTGTGAAGAGAGAAGAGGCAGAGTGGACAGCATTGGTGGGGAACCCCTGAAGAGGGGTACGGCTGTTTTGTGCAATACCCTTGCACAGAGCAGGCTGCTGGTAAAGGAAAATCTGTCATCCAGTACTTTATTGCAGTTTTGCAGTATCTTGCACCCTTATCCCTCCCTTCTGTTTAAAGTACTGCAATAAATCTACAAAAAGAAATCCCCTAGACTAAGCCTGTGTATGTCGGTGTGCTTGGAACTGATGACTGGGCCTGGTAGCCTTTGAACAGGTAAGAGAGACCTGGGTCATTTCCAGCTGCTCCTTTAGGGGTAAACACTACATAATATAACAGCCACATACATGGATTTGGAGCCCTCCGTCATGTTTAGAGCATGTCAGAGTCTACATCATGTCATTTAAAAATGTAAAGAAAAATTGCCCTAAAGCAATATAGTTTTGCTCTAAAATGCCCATATATCATCCAGTTCTATGGTGGTTTGTGACTAAAATAGCATAGCTTGTCAATGTTCTCCAACTGACTGACTCACCCATATGATTAATATCTGTGCAATGACTTGCACAAATATTATTCATGAGATTCATGTTTCCATTAACTTCTAATTGTTCCCTTTTAAAATTCAATGATTTGTAGCGGGATTTAAAAAATAGGAAGTTTCTAAGCAGACAACCCCCCATCTATGCATGGCCTCATGACCTACTAAATTGTATCAAAGTTGTGACATTGATGGAGCAGCTTATGACCAGACTACAAAATGCTTTAGATAAATGTAATGCTATAAGGAGTACTTGGGGCTCCTACCTAATCTTGCTTAAGCACTAACCTTTTCCCACATTACCACGACGATCATGTGTCCTAAATGGCTCACCCTTTCCATCACTATACCTATACCTAAACATCTCTATCTCCCCTCTTCAGTTGTTGACCCTCTACCTTCTTCTTGGTATTTCTTCTAGACTTCTATATACTATCAACACTGGCTAACAAAAAGGTTAATATTTTAATATCTAGAAAGTCATATTTGCTTGTTTTCCAGAAACCCACTAAATGTACCATGTTCAACGTTCTACCTGCTGTGGACAAAGGGTTATTTCATATAATGTCTTTCTCCACAGGTCAAAAGGCCTGTACTATCATATTCTTATGTATGTATATTTGTCTTCTTGCCTGAAAAAAAAAAAACTTAAATGCATAAAAATATAGAAATGTTCTTTTGGATATTTGTGAATACAGCCTTTAATGCAGGTAAACATTTTGTTTTTTTTTTTTTCAATTATTTTTAATGCGAGAACGTGGTTAACAATAAAAATGGCAACAACATTTGGCAAGAGACAATACAAAAATGACAGCATACAGTTTGTCAGTATAGTTGGAGAACAAAGTAGCAGTGCTGGGTCTAAGGATGAACATTAATAAACAAGATGGTTGGCGGTCGGTCTAACAACTAGCAGATGGAAGAGAGAGGGGAGCCCTCAGCTATTAAAACATAAAATACATTTTCATACAAGTGGAGGGTTAATCGGAGGGTCATTGGTTAAAAGTTTGGTTCAATACCATTATGTATTTTAAAAATATTGTACAGTACTAATAATTGTTGGGTATCTATTGGCAAGGTTTGAATTAAAGATTCCAAGACATCAAATAATTTTTGGACCCGTAAGGAGCCCTCCATGTATTCCATGTGGAAAAGGTGGGGGTTCTGGGCAAATCCACTTTTGTAGGATGGCTTTCTGTACTACAAGGAATATGACAATACTGATGTGGAGGTGCAGGCCTGTGGGTTCTCGCTGACACTGGCACCAAATGGACTATTACTATTTCTGTGCAGCAATTGCCCTAGTCAGAGCTAACTGATCTACAGCTCTCCCTGTGTTCTTGAGTTTGTTCCTGCATCTGACTCTTGTGATTGACCCAGCTTGCCCTGACCACTCTTTAATGCTACCTGCTCTGACCTTGGCTTGTCTCTGGACTTTGCTCTGCTTCCAGCTCATCTGCCCGCTTCAGTGTTGCTGACCTCTGCCTGTATCTTGACCATTTTCTTGCCTGCTGTCCATGCCTGAATCTGACCGTCTGTTGCTGACCTGGCTCGTCTGAACATGCATCCAGTTGTCTGTTGTTCTGCTCAGCTTTGTAAGCTACATACATGGTTCTCGCTGGTCATACACGTGCCACCAGTCTACTCTTCATCTGTGATCAGTCACCTGCCAGGCAAAGCAACTGCTAGCTTGCTGCCGGCCAAGTTCTGAATATGCTGCTTGTGCCGCCATCTGCTGTACTGGTCCTCTGATCCATTCCTGGCAAAGCAACTGTTACTTACCTGTGCAGTCAGCTGGACACTCTAAAGGCACTCGTACCTCAACACACTCTTATGGCCACAGTCTCACTGCCAGTGGTCCTTGAGCCGGGGCTGTAAGAGAGGCCTCCCACTACTTGTCAGGCTCTACCATAAGGTACATGACAGTGAGCATGATAATCAAGCAAAATAACATGGGACATTTACTGTATATTTTCATTGTAATTTCCCAAATTAGTCTTATAACACCTGTAACTCCTCTATTTCTTGGTAACATTTTCAAAAGACAACCTACTTCTGGGAAAATCAAGAGACAAACTATGTTGACACATCTTTAGACTGTTCTGTGATTTGGGTTATTCATACTATTAATAAGAAAAAAGTTAAAATAATTAAAAAAAGAAAAAACACTTTTAGAAACAAAAGTGAATCAGAAACTATGAAAAAAAAGTCACAACACAGCCACCAGTGAAATTCTTGGTGGTGTGGATACCTATTGTAAGCAAGAGTTAAGAACTCTCCAGCTCAAGTAAATTAATTAGAGCTAAGTCGAATTTTATAAACACTTTGAATTCATTATTACATGATAGGCTTTACTTTATTGCCTGCATATAAAAGAATACAGGATTACTACAGGTTCTACATTTATTGGCCTGAGTAGAAATCATGTTATATTAAGGGTACAAACACATATGACAATAAGACAACTAGTACGCAGGATCTTGCCGAGAGAAGCTGGCAGCAGGATCCAGTGAAAGTGTTCTGTACACTGCATATTTGTATAATGTTTACATGCATACAGCATTACAGCATAAATGGCCTAGGACACAGATGGCTTCTACTGCAGAATGTCCTTCCTGTTGCTAGAATGCAGGTGGGTTCAATTGACTTAGGGCCAGTAGGGCCACTACATAAATACTGTATGCAAGTAAACGTTTTAACAAATATCTGCACACATGCAGTGTTTCTTGTGCATGGGCCAATAGAAAACTATACAGCTGCATTCATATCCACAATTAAGAAAAGCTATGAACAGATTTTAAAACCCTGCATTTTTTGAGCAGGTGTACATAAACCCTAAAGTGGACCTTTTGTTGCAATCATGTAAAAAGAAAATGTGCAAATAATACTCCATTTTTACTTGCTTTATTTACATACTGGAGCAGGGGTGGACTGACCATTTGGAAACTCGGACACTGCCCAAGGGCCTGGGGTCTGTAGGGGGCCCCATGAGATACCCCTGGTACCTTTTTCATAGGCTTTTTTTGAGTTTGGGCAAGGATACAGGGGCCCCATGATCCCCTATTGCTCGGGGGCCCCATGAGTTGTCAGTCTGCCCCTGTACTGGAGCTACCAGTACCACTGTCTGGTTTACACATTCTTACATTTTACATGTATTCTAGAAGTACCATATTCAAATAGCCTTGCATTGCAAAAAGGGATATTACCATCTGATTACTCTTTCCCTTCCAGCCTCTGATGTGAGACTAAACACATAGGTCAGTAAAACCAACCTTGAATAGAAGGGGGGGGGGGGGGGGTTATCATTTCACATCACATGACCATTAGATTGAAAGAAACACACTACCAGCACTTTAAGAGGAACTTTACTCATAATAGCTTAAT